GTGCCTGACCTTCTGGCTGGGCGGAGCAGGCACTGGAGTGGGGAGGGGTGTTCTCCCTGCTCCAGCCCCTCCCCACTGCCCTTCGCTCTCTTTGCAGGGGTTTGATGAAGACCTGCAGCAGGAGGGGACACTCCTTGGCAAGTTCACTTACGATCAGGATGGCGAGCCTATTCAGACGTTTCACTTTCAGGTACGGGATTCTGCTGTGCTAGCAAAAGCAGCGCAAACTGCCCATCCAGGCAGCAGGCGCTCCCTGGACACTTACCCTGCTGGGCATGGGGTGCAGAGAGGGAAGCCCTGCCCTCCTTTCCCACGGCTCAAGATGTGACATCCAAATGGGGTGTAAGGCACATCCTGCAGATGTCAGCAGAGGGGAAGGCACCTTCCAGAAGGGCAGCATAAGGGAAGCTTCCTGGAAAAGGACACCAGGAGGCAGGCTTTACACAGGAGGGGTTGGGTGGCCAGGAGAGAAAGGCTGGGGGAGGCATCTGAGGGGCCACCGCCAGCACGTGCCAGGGTGCGGGCATTCTCCCAAGGCCAGCTGGGGCCTCAGGCAGTGCACGTGGCTGAGACTTCAGTGGGCATTGGATCTCCTAGGTCAGTTAGAAATGCAGATTCCCAGTCTCCACCCCAGGAGACTCTGGTTCCTTAGGGCTGACAGGACCCAAGAGCCTGCATTTGAACAAACCAGTGGCCTAAGCCCCACACCGGGGGCGTCCTGGAGTGAAAAATTGGGTTGCAGGGGGATAGTGGGAGGTGGACAAGGGACAGTGGCAGGAAGAGGAGGCCGCAGAGGCAGGAATTCAGCCCTCAGGGGCCTGGGGGAGGCAGTGCTGTGTTTCAGGTGACAAAGCTGTGTCCGTTTGACTAACATCACTATATGACTCAAAGGGGGCGAGCCTGGGCCTGGGAGACTCGTCAGGAAGTGGTTGCGGGGAAGCAGCCAGAACAGGATAGGTGGGGGAGAGGGGCGCTGGGATTGAGGACAAAGAAGTATCAGGGAGGGTCGTGAATGTCAGGTTGGATGGGGTGGGAGGAAGAAGCAACTGGGAAGGGGGCTGATGCGGAGCAGGGGGCAGGTCTGGCTGAGTCTGAAGCACCTATGGGACAGTCCGGTGGAGCTGTCAGGGGAGCCAGAAAGAACTGAGTTGTCATCAGCTCTGAGGTGGCAACTAGGCTTTGAGAGAGGTTGGGATTTCTCTTTAGGAAAGTATAGAGACCAGAAGAGGTGGCTCATGCCTATAATCCCAGCACTTTGCAAGGCCAAGGCAAGGGGATTGCTTGAGCCCAGGAGTTCAAGACCAGCCTGGTGAACACAGTGAGATCCCATCTCTACAAAAAATGTTTAAAAATTTAGCCGGGTGCGTTGGCGGGCACCTGTGGTCGCAGCTACTGGGGAGGCTAACCCTTGAGCCCAGAAGGTTGAGGCAGTGAACTGTGATCACACCACTGCACTCCAGCCTGGGCGACAGAGCAAGACCCTGTCTCAAAAAAAAACAGGGTAGAGGACAGAATGACGTGCCAGAGAGAAGGGACAAGCCAGCAGTATGGTAGGCCTGTGGCATCTGCCCAGGTAAGATATGCTGCTAACACTGTTCCCAACACTGTCGCTAGACAGAGGCCTGATGGTCGCTTGAGAAAGGAATCAAGTGTGCCACACATCAGCATCTATAAGCCCTCTATGAAGGTGGTTCTATCTGTTGATCACAATAAAAAAGCGATTGTGGATGAATTCATTCCGGCTTCAGATGAATCATGCTACAGGTGGCCCCTCAGCCCACTGGCTGGAAACACTGCTTGGGAGACTAAAGATCGGAGCTTTTGAAGCCCGGTTCTCTGCAGAGCCCCAGGGGAGGAGCAGGGGAGCCATCTGGCCCTAGGCGAGGCTGTCTCCCCTTCCCACCTTGTCTGTCAGTGAGGCCTCAGGTCTCTGATGCTCTTAATCCCTTTTCTTCTCTACCCAGGCCCCTTCGATGGCCACATACCAGGTGGTGGAGCTGCGGATCCTGACTAACTGGGGCCACCCGGAGTACACCTGCATCTACCGCTTCAGAGTGCATGGGGAGCCTGCCCACTAGCCCCGCTTTCTGGTGCCTGCTGCCAGCCACCTGGGAGTGGGTGAACAGCACCCCACCGCTTCCCCCACACGCTTGCTCAGCGCTCTGACTTCCAGGAGCACAAGAGAGGAGCCTGTGGCCCCATGCAGATGAGAAGGATGGGCAGAGTCTACTGAGCAGCAGCTGGCCCGAGGAGGTCAGCAGGATCCAGCAGCTTCCTTCTTCCTTCCCTCCGTGCCCGTGGCGTCTGCTTCCCATCCTGGGAGTGTGTATATATGTAGCATATCGTGGGGGTCTGGGACGTTGGGAGAGGTGAGACCTGACTGGTGTTGCCTGGGGTTGGGGGCTGGTGCCCGGGAGCTGCTGCAGGGAGGCCTATGGATGAAGCAGGTGCCAGGGCTGTGGGAGGGGCGAGCTAGGGCCTAGACTAGGTGAGCTGCCTCTGCCCCGGGGCAGGGAAGCGAGGCCCTCTGGGAGGAGGGTGCTCAGCTCCAGGGCAGGATGGGACTTTCCCCAGGTAGGAAGCGCCTGATGTAGAGCTGCCCAGCTCTCCTACAAGTTTAGTGCCCTCCACTTAGGGAAGCCTGAACCACAGGGTGCCTGAGGGGCTTCGACAAAAAGTATTTGTCCCGGGTAGAGTAGCAGTGCGCCATGGCGCTTCTTGTGCCCTAAAGGGGACTGGCTCCTGTGATCTTCTAAGGGGCCCAGGGCCAACCCTGTAGGCTTCCCCTCTGCTGGGGACAGTCATGCTTTTCTCTCTCCTGATGCTAGGTTGGGAGCACCCTGCTCCCCATTCCTGCTAGGACCTGCCAGTGCCCAAGCTTGCTTTCCACATTCTCCTGGGATACAGAGACCTAGACCTTTGGGGCCATTAGCATCTGGGGTTAGCAAGAAGAGTGGGGAGCATGGAACTCCTGGGCTCTCGTGGGGACGTTCAGGGTATCGGGGTGGGAGGTCTGTCTGCACTGGCCCCCCCGATCTAACCAGGCCCTGATGTAAGGGCCCTCTGCTCAGGCTGCCCCCTTGGGCTCTTGCAGCTCTTGTTCAGGTAGTGGCCCTTCTAGTTTGTTCTCTGGGGGGCAGTTGGTGGGAGCTGGGGGAAGAGGCTGGCAGAAGTTACCCTGGGTAGGGAAGGGGGAGGAGGGGACTTTTACAGCCAGCAGGCCCCACTGTATTATGTATATATTTTTCAAGGTCTGTTTTTCTAACTGAAAAGCTAAGGGCTTGATTCCTAGCCCCGTTCTGTGGGGCACTGGGTGATACTCAGTTTCTTGTTCCTGGTCATGGAGAGGGGCCTGGGGCACTGGTTCCAGCTGTGTCTGGTGGTCCGGCTGCGGGGAAGGGGCAAAAAGGCAGGCAGGCCCCTTCACTGCAGTGCCGAGCCTCAAATCCACTCTGGAGCATGAGGCTGGATGCAGTGGTGGTGAGGCTGCGCCTGCTCCATCCCGAGGCAGCCAGGCTTTGTTTTGCGCTCTTCTGTCACAAATGCTGCACTATTGGTTCTTAAGTTTTTTATCTCCAGATCCTAATTTATGCCTATGCAAAAAATAAATGATGCCCAAGAGCTGTGGGATGTGGCCTACATGTGGCTTTTGCATATTACCTAGGGCACCTGCTCTTGGGCAGATGAGGAAATGACCTTTGCACATCACCTAGGGCAGCTGCTCTTGGGCAGATGAGGAAATGACCTTTGCACATCACCTAGGG